GGTCCTCCCCCCCGGTGACCATGACGCGACCCGAATTTTGGCCGATTCGGAGACATGTCGCTGGCGCAAAGTGAGCCGCAAAGTCGTCTGTTTGGAGCGGAGAGGGGGCGGGGGAGAGGGGGATTCAAGCGCGAGGACACACGGGATGAGAATGAGTTCTGTGCAGATGGACGCCGGGATTGCTTCGCGTTCGCCACCCCTCCTCTCTCTCCTGCTCCTCCTCCCACTCCCTCGTTCAACAAGGCGATCACTTAAACGCACGTATTTTCGCAGCCCTGTCGTCCATGTGCAGAAGATGAATGAATGAATATGATCGAGTGAGGGTTGCAAATTGTTTTGGGAACGCGGGAAGATTGTCCACCAGCCACCCCGTCGTGGAGGCGGAGTTGGGCAGCAGCACCAGACGCGCTCCCACATGGAACGGGCTCAGTTCTCCCACATGCATCCAATCCATTCCTTGCGTTGGGGCGCGTCTCCCATTCTCCCCTTCCCCCCTACCCCCCTCCCGCCCTTGCGCATGATCATGGAGGGGCGGACGTGAGTGTCCGACTCCAACTGCTGCAAAATCGAGTGCGATGTCATCATCACGAGGACCTGAATCGCCTCCACAAGGACCTGCCAGGTCGTCATCGACGTGCCTCCACTCGGTAACTACCAGGCCTGGCGACTTCGGCTGAGGTCTCGATAAAGGATCGGTGAAATCTCAGCTGAGTTTTGGCCAGGACCTCGGGAGAAGTGGGATGAGGCGATTGAGGGAGCAAAGAGATGTACAGCGCGGAGGGCGGACAACGCGGAAAGGAGGAGGAAAGGGGACGCCACAACCCGGGAAGGAGGTGCCCAAGATGTGAGTAGCCGATAGAGAGGAAATGGAGGCAGCTCGCCAGAATCCCAGTCGAGGCGAGGGCCTTCCTGTCCACCTCCCCCAGATCCTCCCTCTATCCTCCGCTTCACCTCACTCCTTCGGGGTTCTTTCTGTTCGATTCGCGTGGAATAACAGAAATCACACCTGGTCTGCGATGCGGGTAGGCTAGAGAAAAGAGCGAGGTCGGAACAGGGAGATGGGACAGCGGGGAGGTTGGAGGGCATATGCGGTCTCACAGTGAGTCAGGATGAAAGAGAGACAGTTGCTCAGTTGGCAAGTCAACCCGAATCGCCGCCCGTCTCGGCCAGGCCAGGCCCCCTCTGGGGCCTCTCGAGCCTCTCGAGCTTATCGTCCTCCGGCCTCTCGGGACTTTGATCGCTCAGCCTCGCTATGCGCCTGCCCGCAGACTTTCGATACATTCTTTCTATGAAAAAAACATTGCGATCGTGGACGGGGCCGCTCATCGGGGTCGGGGACACCAGGTGCAGCTGGCCGGCATCATTCAATCAGAATCGCTGACCCCATCCCACTTGCATCTCTCAGTACCGAAGTGCATTTTCACCATGATACTTCACAAAACGATCGGCGAGAGCAAAATCTGCCCGGTCAGTAAGACGGAAAGGCTACCAAGAGGATAGCCGGCGGTCATAGGCATCGCCAAGTATCGCCCCTCGACCCGAGACGGCGTCACCGCCAACCACTTTCCTTGGATCCCAAAGCGACTAGACAATTTGTGAACCAAGCTGGGCACCGCTGCATAGTCGCTCACCGAGCACTTGGTTGAAAGTCGCCCTGGCGAATTCCTTCCCTGGCTGAAAAAAAGGTAGAAAAGTAATGGCCTCCTGCCTTCTTTGAAATCAACGCGCCGAGCGCGCTCACCGCCAAATTCTTTGTCGAGCTTCCATTTCAAGTGCACGATCATAAATCGCCTTTCCATTGTGGCGCGGCAATGTGACTGGAGCAAATGAGCCCGAACTCCTCGTCGCTTGCCTCCCCAGGTCGGAAACGGAATAGTCAGCAATCGCCCCCCCCTCCTCCGATCAAGAAATCAAATTCGCATGATGTGGTCTCAATTCCTGTTGTTCGAATATGGCGCCTCGGGGCCGATTGTTGATAAAAGTGTTGCTCCTGGACCTTCCCAATCTGAATCAACCCTGCGATCCTGTTCTCCACTTCCTTCGTGGCCTTCGTTCCCCTTAACAAAAAAGCAAAACAACACAAAAATGGCAGAGAAGCGCCCCGCCTTTTTCTCCTCTCTCGAGAGGGAAATCTTGATGGTGATCACCCTCACTGGTGCCAACCTGCTCTCGGTGGGTTCTCGTTTTGAGACCGAGTGCGGGAAATGATATGGGCTTGATACGGATGACTGACTTCCGCGGTGGCCTTCCTCCCTTCCAGACCTTCCAAATTGGAGGCCTTACCATAGCCCTGCCAACAATCGAGCAGGAGTTCTCAATGACGCAGGAGCTGTTGCAATGGATATTGTCGGCATATACGTAAGTCGAGCCCCTCCACACCCACCACCATCTGTCAGATCCTCACATTCGCATCCATCGCATTATTTGCTGTGTAATACCCCCCCCCCCTCAGCCTCGCCTTTGGTTGCATCCTCCTGCTTGTCGGCCGCCTCTCCGACCTGTTCGGGCGAAAGCGAATCTTCATGATCGGATGTGCCTGGATGACCGTCTTCGCGGTCATCTGCAGCGTCTCGCAGAGCGCCACGATGTTGATCATCGCGCGCGCGCTGCAAGGTGCCGGAGCGTCGCTGACCATCCCGTCGAGTGTCGGAATTCTGGGATCCTGCTACGCGCCGGGAGAGAGGCGGAACAAGGCTTTTGCGGCTTTCTCGGCTGGTGCACCTGTAGGTGGCGCGTAAATCCCCCCGTCGCCTTCACACTCGTTTGGAGGAAACTGATCTTTTCCGACCACGCATCCCGTTTCTTAGATCGGATTCGTGATGGGCCTGATTTTCGGAGGCGTGTATACCCAGGACGTGGGATGGCGGTGGATGTTCTACACGACCGCGGCGCTCAGCTTGGCATTCTGCGTCTCGGGGTTTCTCTTCGTGCCGCATCACGAGGGCCAGAAGGGCGGCGACCGGCGGATCGATATCGTCGGCGCGATCCTGTCCACCGTCGCTTTGATGCTGTTCACGTATGCGCTCAGGTATGTTTGTGGACAGCCACATGCGACTGGCGGGAAAGAAACTTGCAGCAAGCTACACCAGGGATTTGGGGGAAACCCTCCCATGAACGGCGAACTGACGCCCCCCCCCCTCCACCTCTTCCACACTCAGTGAGGCTGAATTCTCCTCCAACGGCTGGACGACCCCGTACATTCTCGCATTCCTTATCTGCTCCGTCGCCATCTTCGCCGGCTTCCTTCTCTTCGAAAGCCGCATCGACTACCCAATCATGCCGCTCACGATCTGGAAGTACCGGAGATTCGCGTTGGTTAACTTTGTCGCGTTCTGCGGATGGGGAGCGTTCAATGCCTTCCTATTTTATGCGACGCTCTTGTTAGTCTATGCGTTGGTGTATTGGGAGGGCTAGGGGGAGGAGGATGGTGTGCAAATCCTGGTGAAGGAAAAGACGAATCGAAACTGATCTCCCCCCTCCCCTTCCGCCTTTCTTGTGCAATTCCTCTCCACCAGCTTCCAAAACATCCAAACCACAACCCCACTTCAAACCACCGCCCGCTTCATCCCCATGGCGATCTCCGGCATCTCCGTGAACGTCGTCATGGCGGTCACGATCAACAAGATCCCCGCCCGGTATCTGCTTATGGTCGCCATGGCCGCTTTTACGGTACATTATCAGCAAGCAGTGGATTGAGACCATCCGCCTTCTATTTCGCTAATGTGCTTGACGCTGAGACTTCTTTCCAAACCATGCAGGCATCGGCAGTGCTGTTCGCGCTGAGCGCTCCGGACCAAAGCTACTGGTCGATGCCGCTCCCGGCATTGTTACTTTGCGGTGAGTCGACGCGCCGGTTCTGTGAAGCCTGGCGGCACATGATCGTTTCATATGGATTCTGACCCTCTCCCCGCTCCATCTTCCCGCCCCCAGTCGTCGGTGCCGACACCCTCTACTGCGTATCCAGTCTCTTCGTAATGACGACCGTCCGTCCCGAAGACCAATCCGTCGCCAGCGGCGTCCTGAACACGGTCCTCTCAATCGGCGTCTCCGTCGCGCTTGCCGCCACATCCGCCATGGCAGGTAGCCAGGCAGGACCGAACGACACCACCCCGCTCGAATCTTACCGCGCCGCATTCTGGACGTGCGCGGGCATCACGGGGTTGGGCTTCCTTGCCGCCACCGTCGGCGCAGATATCGGGATCGTGGGAGAGTCTAAACCCGCTGCGAATGCGAAAAAAGGGCCCGATGTTGAGGAGATCGCTGTGGGGGGTCGCGACGATGCGACTGTTGTTTGATGCGGGTTGGGGTGATGAAGAGTTTGGGGGTTTTGTTTGGTATAACCGTTGGGAAGGTGGACTGGGGGTGGTGGGGCCCTTGGGCATTTGTATTTTCTTGCATGTCCAAACATATTCCGATACACATCCCAGTTTTGAAATTGTGCGAGGCACACAAAACGTAAAGTCCCTACTGATGAGGGGGGGAGATGTGTAAAGTTGGTGCGCAGGATATCAGAAAGATGGGAGCTCGGATGTGCTTGATGCAAGTCTTATGGGCGAAGGATCGAGGAGCTCACCGTTAAGACCCTGCTCCCCATCCCCGCGAAGTCAACCCTACTCCTCTTCCCCTTCAAACCGATGACTCCACATCCTGGATGCTCCCCGCGGCAAAAGACACTCTCTCGCCCCCCGGAGCAACTTGTCCTTCCCGCGTCGGCGCGCATGCAATGACTCCAAATCTCCGAACAGCGGTGCAATCGAAAGTGACAAATTACTTGGAAACAGATTTGACCCTTGCAATTCATCTCTCTTGGAACACATGGCCGAATGATTACTCCGAATAGAGCGCCGGGATCGTAGATGGAGGATGCGTGAGGTTGCAGATGGCTGGAGCCTGGAATACATCTGCGGGCTTGGTTTTTTTCAGAAAGAGGGGGAGGTTTTGTTGTGTTTCAACGGAGCTTTATATACCCTCCTTGGGGAGGTGTAATCATGGGAAATCAAGGGGAATTAGCTCAGATGGCAGAGCGCTCGCTTAGCACTTGAATGCAACGTGCGAGAGGCAGGGGGATCAGTACCCCCATTCTCCACTAGCAGGTGATAGTTTCAACGGAGAACTCACTCTCCGCGCTAGTTTGTCGCCGGCTTTAAACAAAGGGGTTGCAGACGATGTCACTTTGCGGAAGCTTCAGCGCCCGTTTTCTTGTTTATCGGCGCTTGAATCAACGATTAGAAATCAGGAAAGTCCAGCGATTCCTCAAGACTCAAGAGACAACTTGAAGCATGCGTCGTGATTCCCGGACAAGTGGCAACGTCCCAAGCTCCTGCCAACGGCTCTCAATGGTGAACAAGCAATGAACAGTTTATTGTCGGTGTGCTGCGATATCGCGACGAAAGGGAAGGAAACAAAGGGCAGACGGAGATCGAACGCCTACTTCCGGGATAGGGGATAGTTGCTTAGGGGGATCGACGCGGAAGCCTTCAATCGACGCGTTCCAAATTTGGAGTGGCGCAGCTGCAAAGTGATCCAATATATTTCCGCCCATCTCACGTCGCAACTGGCCTGCGTTCCTTCCGTGAGGGGGAGGGCACGCGCCTTCTGTCGTCCCAATCTTGCCTATGCCCACCAGCCACTTCACACCCCCAGACAACTGTTCGAACCGCCTGCGCCGCCCGCTCAGCGAAGCGTCCCTTGCCTGGAAAGGTCCTTCGTGCCAGGCAGAACCCCTTTTCCCGGACATGCACCATCTTGACCTCTTCCGAAACTAATATCTCCACCACGACGGGGGACGCCCGTAGCAGCACCGTCTGGCCTCCTCGCGCTCGCCGCTTTTCCACCAGTGACTGATCAAGGCCCGGATGGTCCCGGTCGCCCGACGGTGCAAATGGCCGTGAGCTTGGTATGGCAGCTGCCATATGTTGTCCGGAGAAGTGTAGAATGTGCCGGTCCGGGGGTTCACTGCCGCGGAGACCTTGCAAGGTAAGGGACGCTCCGCAAGCGGATGGCACGAGATCGGGCAGGTTCTGGAAGTTGCCGGCCAGTGTGGAGGGTCGCTGCTGAGAATAGCAGATGTTGGGTCGAAAGAAGGCGTGTGCAGTTGTTCACGAAGGGATACAATTGACGCTGAGGGGGGGGAGGGTCCGGGTGTGAATCGGGGTGGAGTAAAACGACTTGAGAAGAGGGTCGTGATTAGGCAAGGACGGTTCACGCGGACCCCGGGTCAACAATGAGTAAGTCCTTTACTTGGTGCCCCTTCACCGGGCGCTCAGTTTGGCTGCAAGCGGAGGGGTTCAGTCCAGGGGACCTTCACTTGTTTCACCTCGAGGATGAAAATATGCGAGGCGGCAAAATTCGAGTCTCCCAAGACATCGTCCTGCAATTCGCAATCCCGGACCAGATCATGTACGTGCAGAGGTCTCGTCAGGACTCTTCTTGGGCGGCGAGCCTCCTCGTTCACTTTGCCCGACCTCGGCACTAGTCGGTTTGGCAGGCTAGGAGCAGGCCGCGAGGTCGGCCTTTCTATCGGCGGCATGCAGGACACGTCGGGGCCGTTCATCGTCGACACACCCTTGCTTTCTTCGTGACTTTTCACTTGAAGGGGGCCGCGGTCAGCATTGGCTCGCACGGGCCTAATCTCCATGCCTCCTTGTCTCCAAACCGCCGAGGCGGAGAATTCACCCCATATCTAAAATTGAGGGCACTTGGCTCGCGACGGGAGAGCCGATTCACTTTTTCACATACGGTGGTCACCTGGCAGCTGACACCTTATTCTCCTTCTCTGTCATATACGGCACTTGTGACACTCGTCGTTGTGCACGCGGGTGCGAGGTACCAGGGGTCTCCTTGAGGAATTGCGGGCAGAGGTGGAGGACCGGGCCCCCTTCGCCGTTTTCTCCGCTTTCTTCCTGTCCTTTCTTCATGCTTCACAAAACAAGAACGCAGCCGGCCTTAATCCTTTCTCTGCTCCCCTCCTGGCGCTCCTTCCCCCATTCACAAAACAAGAACGCAATATGGCAGACAAGCGACCCGCCGTTTTCTCCACGCTCGCAGGCGAAATATTGATGGTGATAACCCTTACAGGAGCTAACCTGCTGACGGTGAGTTGCTGAGTTGCTCAAGAAAGCTGGGATCGTAGACGGGATGAATGGGGGGGCGTGATTCCTGATGTTGGCGCCCCCCCCCTTCCCCCTCCCTCCCAGACTTTCCAACTTGGAGGCCTGACGATCGCCCTCCCAACGATCGGGCAAGACTTCTCCATGACGCAAGATCTATTGCAATGGATATTATCGGCCTACTCGTAAGTCACCCTCCCCCCTCCATCTGCTGCACCCCCGCCTCAGTATCTATCATCCGATCTCACCCCCCCCCCCCCCCCCCCCCCCCCCCCCCCCCC